CATAAAGATAACACAAAATACACAAAAAAACACAAAAACCATAACAGAACATATCATGAGATATGAAATGCTAATGGAAACACGAAAATATAATAAACTAGCTGACCCGACAGACTTCGTCCTGTCAAAAAGATTTGTAATGTGGCAGTTTTTTTGCCTACGTATTTAAAAAAATTCTCCTGAACAGAATCGTCACCCTGGTGATAGGGCGTTGTGAATAAAAAATAATTAAATAAAACATATATAAGGATTTAAAAGTAAGTAATCGCTTTATTGTTAATCATGTGAATCATAATTATTATTGCAATGTATTAATAGTAATAGTATTAAATATAGAAAAAAGAGATTTTTATGATCATAAAAACACATTACACACAACAGCATTATAAAAGTAAACTATTCGAATTAAAAAAATATATATACATTCTCAAGGAAAAATGCTGGAAGAATCCATCTACCTGTACCCTGGAATGGGACTCGAACCCATTCGCGATCCAGGGACTGCTCTAACCAATGAGCTATCTAGGACCCAACAGCTTTGCTACTACAGAGCGTATTTTCATCAATGTTCCGGCAATACATGTAATGACGTGGAAACTGATGCATTTTATCTCGCGTGCCGAAACTAATACAAAAGAAACGCGAGTTTCGGAACGCGACATTAAACTCCTCCAACTATGTATTCTGTGCTCCAACGCACACACGCACATTGTTTTGTGATAGATATGATCTTTGACGTTAGGAACACACCTACATTGCTTAGACAACAGTGAGTGCTTGTAATTTAATATGAACTTTATACCATAGCAATAAAGCTCAAATTGACTACGTTTTAGTTACAAATCATTTGTATGGGAAAAAGAAAAGGGCTATTTTTAGGGTTTTTCCAGCAATAATTCTAATTTTTCTCGCCGTAAAAACCATCCTTGAACTTCAACGAACATTTTAAAAAAAGATTTGGCCAAATTGGTCGAGGCGTTGTTGAGTTATGCGCTTACCAACACATTTTGCGATTCATTTTTATATATATATAGATATATAGATAGGACATTTTAGGTAGTAATATGATAACCATAGGACTCTCAAAATAATATAAAAACAAATAAAATCAGGATAAAGCGATAAAGGATAAGTAAGGGAAACAATGCCATATGATAAGCATATGTCAAAGTAACATAAAAAAAAAAAAACGAAATGGGTTTTTACCAAAATGCAGCTGGAAATTTTCTATCGAAGTGTTTAACTCAATTTTATAAAAAATCGCAGTTAACAGGTTTTACCAGCATGGTACAATATGTCAATGCAAAATTGTACAATAATCAGTTTACAGTGTGTGTCGTTGGATTATAAATATTTTATAAAATTATTAATTGACGATATTTTAAAATATATAACGAATACTCTAAATTAAAAAGTAACATTTGTAAAAAAAATACTCAAATCAAATAACTTAATAAATGACAAGTGTTGTGAATATGAATTTTTTGAATTTATTTATTTTCTGTTTACAGCCCTGGTCACAATGCTGTTCCTAGATACCCAGCTGACTTCCCTGCTGCACTCTGCCCGAACTACCCTTACTGCTTTTGAACAATTAATTACACAACGACAACGCAAGCAAAGAGACATAATTTAGAAACAAACATTCGCTAAACGTCAGATTTTCCCGCCTTTCCTTCAACTTCTTTCCAAAGAGTATTGCGTACTGCATAGGTTATCAAACCTTTTTGTACGCTATACAATTTAAAAGATCTAGTGTTATAGCGAAATGTGTTCACACTGCCATAGTATAAAAATAACGAGTTTCATTAAAAATGAAGTATGCATGTAAATACGTACTATTATTAATGTAAGCTTATATGTTCGCATTTGAAATGTAAAAACATGTATAAATTGTAAAAAAATACATTAAAAAAATTGAATTTTTTCATATATTTCATTCGAGGTGACCACCATATTAGATAAGGGCAAATAGGCTTGGCTGAATATAGTATTGCAGTTTCATACTCAAATTATGTCAACTACGGATTTATCGATAAATCACTAACAGGAAAAAAGTTAAAAAATAATTTATAAATTAACTAGCTGACCCGGTGAACTTCGTATCACTTACCTCTTAATAAAAACCATATTAATATTGAAAAATATTGCCTAAAAGGATCACTACACGACCATAAATATTGATTGTCAACGGAACGTTTGACAGCTACGAACAGTTTGTATAGGAAAATCGAATAGTCGTTTTTAGTATTATACTTGCAATTTTGTCATATTTTCTCATCGTTTAAACCTTCCCAGGACTTCCACGAATATTTCAAGACTAAAATATGTCAAATCGGTTCAGCTGTTCTAGAGTTTTAGCGGGACTAACGAACGGAAATTCATTTTTATTTATATAGATAACCATTTATAAATTCGAAATGTCGTCGAAATGCAACAACAATAAAAGAAACTTATATTTTGATCATTTAGATTCCACAGAACTCTGCAATGATAATTTTGTTGCCAAGCCGTTATAAAATTTGCATCATTCCTTTTAGTTCAATTTTAACAGTCGTATTTTTTAATTTAAAAATAATTAGTTTATTTAATTCCTTTTAATGAGTAGATATTGATTTCGGAACATACTCATCAAGACCATTAATAAAGTACTCGAATTATTATTATTTTTAATTTTTGATGACGCCATACATACTATTTTGTATATTTTTCTATAAATATAATAGCCAGTGCCACTCGGGACAATGTAACGTTTCTAATAATATCTTATTTTTAGCTTGTTTTTAACCCGTTAATCTTCCAAAAGTTATGGTGGAATAAAGAAATTCACATACACACATGCATTAACCCTAACACACGATGCCCTGTTTTTCATTCATAGATACAGATAGGGTCAGGCGATGTCGCATTGCGCGACCTATAGCGTTAAAATATATTTTACTAGCTTTCACCAGCGACTTCGGCCACTAGGGAAATGTTGAGTGCGATAAAAATATCCTTTATCTAAGTAAGCTAATACATAGGGTATTAGCTGTATAAAAATTTCATCCGTTCAGTAGCTTCGGCGTGATTGACGGACTAACATCCAAACATCAAAACAAAGGAACTTTCACATTTATAACATTAAAAGATTATTATTGTACCTTCATAAAAATCTTTACGAGTACGTACGTAATGTTAATTTTTTTCTGGCTAGTATTTGAAATAGCCTTATTAAGATAAATCCGGAAAAATTATCGCTTCCGGTTTTTACGGAACGCAATCCACTAAGCGGGATTAGGACGGTTGTTGAAATTCAACATTATTAGGTATAGGGTTAGGTATTAGGTTTCTGAGAGAAACAACTGGTACCTAGTTTAAAAAACGCTTATTCAAGTTAGTAGCAAGACAAGTGTACTTAAAAACCGATCAATACCAGCAGGTTTAAACTAGAATTTTACAGCTTATGAAATATGGACTGGTAGAAAGCCAAATTTAAGTTATTTAAGAATCTTCGGCAGTCCAGTAATGGTACAAAAGAAAGGCGATTTTTATTCCAAAACAAAAGAATTTAGATACCGTTACAAATAATCTTGGTAAGTGGTATGGTATAAAAGTTGTGTATTGTCTGTGAAATAAAAAATCATATTTGCGATATTTTTCTATCGACCTTTCGATTCTTTCTATTAATTTTATAAAATGATTTTTATTTGTGGTTACTCCGTACAATCTCCCCTTATGAGCTTTAATCTTTTACTTTGATTTAGACCATTAGAACATTAATAAAATAAATAGGTACCTTATTTGGAAATGAGGGAAATGTTAAAATATAAATTTCGGTATCACTCTGATACACTCACTCGCCATGTAGTTACCGATAAAAATTCATTTATTGATTTATTTATTCTGTGGAATATCCTCAGTCTATTAGACGATTTCTTAGTTATTTGTAAAAGAAAGATCTCAAAGACTATAAATATGCACAAATGCCATTATCCATATTCTAAATTCCATATTCTTATCATTTTAATTTAAAAGCATATCTTTAAATAGCAAAGTTCTAGTCTACTGATATTTTTTATTCTTCTACATAATATACCCTGCGGTCTGTTTTGTTTACATATCAATATGACGGACAGCATTTTCGCGGGTATAAAATATCATATATACTTTCGCTATATAATATTAGTATGGAATAATGAAACGATACTCTTTGTCGCTTATTATATCATAAAGAGATTACCAGACAGTTATTAATATAAATAGACTAAGAACAATACAAACCACAATTACTTGGTCGACTTTTAAACTCACAGCTGTTGAGTGAGACTCGAACCTATGACCTTTCGCAATCCGGACGACTGCTCTAACCACTGAGCTACCCAGGACCTACCAGGACTGACGAATTTTTCAAACATTTGTAAATAACAAGTTTCGCCATTACAGAGCGTATTTTCATCAATGTTCAGACACCTCATCAGTGGTTAAAGCAGTCGTCCAGATTGCAATAAGAATTTTAGTCCCATATCAGAGTGCCCGGGACAAAGTGGATTTTTTTAAGCATTTTTCATTAAGAATATTTTTCAGTATAGCATTCCATATGCAAAATTGATCAAATAAATAATTAAGATACTTCCTTAAATAAAACAACTTTAAACGGTTTCATGGCGTTTGTATTTTCTTGTATTGACGTTTCGGACCCTTTATAAATTCAGTCTTCACATAAGACTACAGTTGCTTCATTTAATGGATAGTGCGCGTGAAAAAATGAGAAATCATTACACTTCCTTAATGTATGTTAAAAGCTAACAGCATTTTTTCCAAAATGGTGTCCAAATAGGTAAAACCAAAAAGGCGCCTAGAACTTTTAAGAAAGTTCAAAGACTTCTTTAAAACATAACACACTGGAATTCCAGAAAAAAACGCATCACAAAAGAGTTAAACAGATTTAGCTATATTACCTCCTTGCATGCGATTTAATTGTAATCGATATACTTGTTAACCCGACACTCGCGAGTATAAATAGAATCGACGGCTGCTAGCCAGTATCAGTCTCAGTGTTCAGCTCGAGAGGATAACATAGACACACAATGTTCGCTAAATTGGTGAGTGTTTTGTCATGTCATGTTATTAACATCATAAGCCGGATTATCAGTTCGATTCCATTGTGAGTCTGAGGTACATCCTTCTATAACAATACATCCTGAAACTCAAGAGTCGATTTTTTTATAAAAATAAAAAAGCAGTTATTGCTGAATATGCAATATTGTGTATAGTTTTGTCGTATTAAATTAATATAGACTCAAACACAAAGTTTTATTTTCGCCATAGCCTTTATGTTCTTTCTGCTAATTACTGTTTTAATAAAACTTTATAAAAAGTATAAAGTGCTTAAAAAAATCGTTAGTCCTGTTAGGTCCTGGGTAACTCAGTGCTTAGAGCAGTCGCCCGGATTGCGAAAGGACTTGGGTCCGAGCCCCATTTCAGAGTGCCAGGGACATAGTGGATTTTAAGCACGTTTCTATTAAGGACTTTATCTACGTTAAATTGCATAGGCACACAAAATAAATGAATATAGTATGGTCGCTCCTCTTATTTCTATTTTAATATTTAAAAAAATAAAAATAAGGCCTAGGGAACCGTTTAGTGATATAAAAAGTAGTCTATATTTTAATTCAGGCTAAGAATGATCCTTTTACTAAATTAAAAAGAAACTGTTTAATAGTTTTGTCGTGAAAGAGAAACAACCATGGTCCATCATTACTTATGAATTTTATTATATTTGATACTAAAGAAGTATCAAATATAATAAAATTCATCCTCGGAAGTATATTTAGATTTTGCAGTTATTGATTTAATATATGTTCTAATAAATAACCCATCGCATGCTCTAAATCACGGTATCGAGCATAGCGTTACCATGATAGTACGATGACATATCACCAAATAGGACACTCAAAAAGAAATCTGTGTTTAATCGCACGATCAAACCCATCGCAGAAATTATTAAGCATTTCTAGCGCTTTGGCAATGAATTATGTTGGACATTCCAAAAGATATCACTCATGGAAACACATGATTTTTATTTTTAACAATATCACTGTTGATTTAAATGTATGTATAAACTACAAAACATCGGCATGGACTAACAATATTTTGACTGATAGATTTAAAGCTAAGCAACTTTCGCCGGTCGGTCATAGGATGGGTGACCAAAATTTTATATCTCAAATACCTCCATGCTTCGGAAGGCACGTTGAGCTATTGGTCCAAAACCAATCAAAGGTACCCACATGGCCCTGTCTCTTTTCGAGTCGTTTATCTATAGGAAAGGCCTATGCCCCAACAGTGGGGAGAAGAGAACTCTAGTCAAGAGAATATATTAAAAAGAAGACAGTACGATCCTCAGGTCAATCAGTTAGTAATGTAATCAAGGAAATGTGTGCAGGATGAGAAACTTGTAGAATTCTAAACACACCTTATTCCAAACAAAAACTTCATAATATCAATTATACTATTGTTACTGACAAGGATGGGTGGACGCAAGGTTCACTTTATAATTACAACATGCCAATGACATGACTCTTAACTATCATAACATTTCGTACCTCAGGCGGTGGTATTAGCATAGTCGAGTAATGTAAACATGAATTATTTCGCAAATTAATTCAATGGTATATTGATAATTATATAATAAACATTGAAAATTGTATCTTTAGCGTTTAGACAAAAGACTATCCTTATTTGTTTTATTGTATCCGGCAATAAGGTGGATAGAGACAGTGGATAAAACTATTTTGATTAAGAAAAGACTTCGTTAAACGACAATAAATCGAATAAATTGTAAAATTTAAAGATAAAAGTTTTTAAAGAGGTTTAAACTGTGACCGTCGAATATGATATACCTAGTTTTCTCAATTAATGACAGCTTATTTAGACGTTATTATTTGGTACAATTTATAAAGGGGAATCTGAGTTATAATAAAATTAGTTATTTGAAAAGCGATAATTGCGATATTTTTAGTGTTATCATCAAGTTTTACTTTTTCTATCTAAATGTTTTAACTTTTCCTATACATAATAACTAATAATTTATTATTATTACCTTTTTAATCATAAAACTATAGTAAATATTAATGAAAACCACCTATTTCTGATCTAAATTCTTATATAACTTTCTAGAAATGTCCGCATATTTACAAGCAAGGTTGCTTACAGTGTTTCGAAATTCAACAATACAAGTCTACCTACCGATAAATTACATCGATATGCATTTCACATTGAACACGCAAACCTTTAAAACTGACTGTAGGAGAATAAACAATGAACTACAAATATGCGATTAAGTTTTTGATAGAATCTCGGGAGTTGATTTAGTTAGGCGCGTTAATTACCGTAGAGTAATAAATAACTGGCAATGATAGTTCGCCGTTTTGCGTTATAATATATTTGACACTAACGTTTAAGAGTATAATAACGTTTTACTTAACTTTAATGATAGAATTCTAGCTTATTTAACTGTTAGTTATATCGGTTCTGTAACAAAAGTTATACATTTTACTGCATATTGTTTTAGATATATTTGAATTAACGAGCTTTTAAGACCTTCTAGGACTGAACGGACCAACTCTGATTGGTCTTCTGATAGCTAATTTGTCAGCGTAAAAATCATTCAAGTATTCATTAGACTGATTAGTCGATGCTTTAATTCATCTTCAGTTACGCAGTAGTGCCGTTTCTCACAACATATAAAACAAATTCACTCTGTCAAGTGTGCTCATGTGTCTAAACGCAATAAAGTTGAATGTCTAACTTTGACATTCAGATCCGGTGATTTTTGAGTTAATCCACTAAACAAACAAACAACATAATAAAAATCTAATCTTTCCTTATTATATATAAATTTGCGAACTATCTCGTATTTCCAGGACTTATTCAAATTTTTATACTGTCTTTTATCGTCCTGGGTTTTAAGGCTTCTTAAAGGTCTTGTACATTTCATGCGGCGGTTTTGTAATTATTACGTTATTATTAATATTAATTATTATTAATCATGAATGATTCATGACTGCCCAGCAAGATTCTTTTTTAATTTTAAAAACAAAAAAAATAATTACTTTTTCAATGACCTTCTTCTCTTACTAAAAATGCACATTATTATTTCTTGGAATTTTTCTAAACTAAATTACTCCATATATGCTGTTTTTAAACTGAATTGTTCTGGCCGTTCTATTTCTAAATTCTAGTTATTGGAAGTTAGAGTTTTATAACCGTTTAATGTTGTAATCATAGGCCAAGGGAATAGCTTCCAAGCCAAGCCAATAAATTAAAAACATATATTATTTATATTTCGCAGTTCATCGTCTGCATGTTGGCCGCGGTAGCGTTGTGTCGCGAGTACCCGGCCGGCGTTCACCCAGCGGTATGCCCCAACTACCCGTACTGTGATACGGGTATGCTAGCACGGTTTACCCCCGATGGACAACCAGTACCCGAATGGGTATACAACCCTAGCATTCTACCAGTAGCACCTGTAGAGTAAGTACCTATTATTTTTTAGTTATACTGAAATAAAAAAGTGTCAATGAAATTCAATTTTTTATGCCATTTAAACATTGCTACACGATTTTTAATGCATTTACTTACGTTCTTCAGTTTTTTTGCTTCAAAGATACAATTAATTGCGAACAATAATGCAGAAGGAGTTTTACAAACTAAATGGGTTATTATATTTGATCAATATTGCATTTACAACGCTCTACTGGAGAATATTCGTAATAGAAAATGCTTAAAATATCTACTTTGTCCTTAAATGTATATTTAACTCAACTTCCCAGTTAACAGGTTTTACTAGCATGGTACAATATGTCAATGTAAAATTGTACAATCATCAGTTTATAATTTATTATATATTATAAATATTTTATAAAATTATCAATTGACGATATTTTAAAATATATAACGAATACTCTTAATTAAACAGCGACATTTGTAAAAAAAATACTCAAATCACATAACTTAATAAATGACAAGTGTTGTGAACGCAAACATACAAAATCTGAATTTGAACTTATTTATTTTCTGTTTACAGCCCTGCTCACAACGCTGCTCCTAGATACCCAGCTGATTTCCCTGCTGCTCTCTGCCCGAACTACCCTTACTGCTTTTGAAAAATTAATTATACAACGACAACGCAAGCAAACAGACATAATTTAGAAACAAACATTCGCTTAACGTCAGATTTTCCCGCCTTTTTTTCAACTTCTTTCCAAAGAGTATTGCGTACTGCATAGGTTATCAAACCTATTTTCTGTACGCTTTACAATTAAAAAAATCTAGTGTTATAGCGAAATATGTTCACACTGCCATAGTATAAAAGTAACGAGTTTCATTAAAAATGAAGTATGCATGTAAATACGTACTAAGTTTAATGTAAGCTTATATGTTCGCATTTGAAATGTAAAAACATGTAAAAATTGTAAATAAATACATAAAAAGTTTTATATATTTTCATCTATTTTATTGCTCGAGCTGACCACCATATTATAGCTTGTTTTTAGCCCGTTAATCTTTAACATTAACCCTAAACACAATGCACTGTTTTTAATTCATAGATATAGATAGAGTCAAGCGATGTCGCATTGCGCGACCTCTATAGTCTATAATAGGGGTTAAAGTATGCCAATTTGTACTAAAAACAAAATTGATTATTTTTAAATTTTTAACAAATTTATTTAATCAAAATAGTTACCATTATTATCTATACTTTGTTGCCATCTAATAGGAGGGTCATTTATGCCTTTGCGATAGAACTCTGAGGATCTGGACTGCACAAACTGTGTGAAAGCATTTTGTACTGCCTCCTAGAAAGAAAACTTCTTGTCACGAAGATAATTGTCCAAATCACGAAAAAAAAATGTTAGCCCGTTGGAGCAAGGTCTGGCGAATACGGAGGATTTCGAATGGTGTCTAACTGCAGTTCCTGAAGGGTCAAAACGGTTTCTCGTGCTCTATGAGGTCTCACGTTTTCATGGAGCAATAATGGTGAAGATCGATTCATGAGTCGGGGCTGATTTGCACTGACACTGTTGTGGCGTTTGTCCTAGGGTCAGCCAATGCATTTTTCTTTTACGGTTATCATAAAGAATCCACTTTTCATCTTAGACCATTTACTTGATTTAGACCATTAGAACATTTAAAAGATTTGTGTGCTTTGCTCCTACAATGGAAACCACCTATTTCTCCAAATAAGTAGGTACCTTATTTGAAAATGAGGGAAATGTTAAAATGTCAATTTCAGTATCACAGTGATACTCAAGAATGAAAAAGTTACCGATAAAAATTCATTCTTTGTTTTATTTATTCTGTGGAATGGCCTCAGTCTATTAGACGATTTTTTAGTTATTTGTAAAAGAAAGAAATCAAAGACTATAAATATGCAAGAATGTATTTGTCACTATTCCTAAATTTTGACAAATAGAGAATGCTGTAAGCATTAAATCCGGTCTCTGCATCATGTTATTCCGGTGAATAAAGTTTAGTCTATACTTAATATTATAAAGAGGAATGAGTTGTTTGTTTGTTTGCAACGAATAGGCTCCGTAACTACTGGACCGATTTTATAAATCCTTTCACCTACTTGAAGCCACATCATATGCGGTGAACATATGCTATATTTTATTCCGTAAAACAGCGAATAGAGGGATGAAACTGGAAGTGGAAGTTTGTATAGGTAATTAAAACGTAACAATAGTAACCATTGTTTACTATTCAATTATTATAATCATAGTATTGCAATTATATGAGTGTGATATCCAAATAATAGTTCCATAGGTATCACGCGGAGCGAAGTCGCTAGCGGAAAGCTAATAAACAAAAAAACATACAAAGAAATAACACATTGACATTTATCCGAATTAATTAATATATTTATATATAGAACTGTCAGTCTACTGACGTGCGTTTACCATTTTCGGATTGATAAACATTTTGGAACAGGTTTTAGTTTACAATGGGTGGTACTCTACTTAGGTATACAATGTAAGGCTGACACAAATAGGATACGCACCCACTGCTTTATACATTCCAAAACATTTGATTTAAAGGGTTGTACTACTTTCTAAACGCCTTCAAAAAAAGGATAAATATAATAAAATATCAAAAATTTTGTTAATATATCTAGTATAATTTCGTAAAATATTATACTTGTAAAAGATGAGAGTCTTCCCATCCCTGAAAATTACTTAAATTTCGAGTAAGTGACTTTTCCATCCCTGAAAATTACTTAAATATCGAGTTTTTCGCATTTATAAAATTTTTGTATTTAGTGTTACGACACTGCGTTCATATAAAAATTATAAGTTAAAGCTAGGAAAAGAGGCGAAATATAAAAATTTTACTAATTTGAGCTTTTAAAGAATATCCAAATATTAAAATGGTTACGATGAATAAAAATTAAAATAAATGTCTTCTGAAATATTTAAATACAAAAATTTCATGGACGTGATCCACCTGAAATTTAAGTAGCTTACTGGCACCTTTCAGTACCGGGGAAGCCCCATAAGGACCCTCATCATGTAAATTTATCTTGATGACACATCTTGATATGATATTCCACCAGAACAATGAAAACTTATTCATGCCTTAAAGTCTTTTTAATATTTGTAAAAAGATTACTTCGATAATTTGTCTAATAAGTAGAATTAAAAAGGGCACTTAAACTAAAAAGTTAATATCAAATTGATAGTGAACAAAGAAATAAAATCGCTATGATCAAGGAGTCCAATTAGGCTAAAAACTTTATTTCTCAATTTTTGACAAAATGTTAATAAAATTCAACTTAGTTCAATTTCTTCTAATAATAAAAGCCTCTTATAGAGTGAAATTCAATTTATTTACCTGGTATACAATGCATTTTCCGTTTTTAATAATACTAAGAGAGAACCCTAAGAAATCTTACGTGGTCAGGTAGTTGTCAGGTCATCAGCATCCGGAAATGGCGGCGAACTGTCATCGTGAATGACATTTATAATCAATTAAAGATGGCGATCATTTTGGCGCGAACATCGACCCGCCCTATTATTAAGACAATCTCATTGATTAACTCACGTACCTATAATAAAGTAATTTACATTTTTACCGTTTTTTTTGTAATTTATTTATGCTACAAAACCCGATTGATATCTGTTTAAAAATTTAAGTAACTTACGGCCGACTTTGGTTGACGAATCGTTTACATTCCTTTGGGAACAATTACTTAGTCGTATAGAAGAAAAGTTGTAAATAACTTAAAAACAAAGGAATAACATTCTTAAATATATTTTGACAACTAATTGATGTTCTTTGATATTTTTATGCATAATGTGTTTAAATGTGTGCCAATTTTTATTTAACATATCCAAAATTGGCTTTTATTTATAAAACTTATGTATAACTACTAAAAGTTAAAAAAAATAACTACAAATAGCTACAAAATTACAAATATTTAGAGAATCGATAATGACATGTACTTACCTTAATGTTCTTATTTTAAAATGAGATATAACCTTCTTGCACTGTAAATTCAAAAGCATCCTCGCTTTCATAAATCAACCAGAGATATATATATAATTTTAAAATTTAAAACAACAACTAGCAATTTTCCATCGCCATTAACAACGGATGAGTACCTGCTTACGAAAAAGGACAGATTATAATCGTTTCTCCAATTAGCGAACATAAAAAAATGCCTATCGGTCAAGCAGGAGTTGATAATGAAAATCGACTTCTGTATACAATAAATAATGAAACCATTAAAAATACTATTTCACCTAGGAATTTGATAAGAAACTGTTCCATTCATTCGTCTATAAGTAAAATAAATAATCTAAGATTGGCTTAGGTTATGTATTTAAGTTCAGTTAGAAAATCTTATTGCGGTTTTTTGTTATTAATTAAGTAGATTACCGATTTATTGCAGCAGACTTTAGCCATAGGAAACAACGTCTTATTAAAATACTTTACACATCTGTTTTAATAACGAAGTACGAATCACGAATATGAATTGGCAGCAGTGATTTTTGCTTACTTAGTAATGTATCTCAAATTTATCCACCAATAAAACAAGTCGAAACAGTAAAATGAAACGAAATATCGTAATAACATTCGTTAAGATGTCGTATCATAGGCTAGCGGGAGGACCGGTCGCACCCCAGAGCTCGATGTGGTTAGTGTGTTCGCTGTACGATACGGCAGTTAAGCGACTTTCGCAAAGGCCAGACATAAGATAGGTGACCAAAAGTTTATTATTCGAACTCCTCCTTGCTTCAGAAAGCATGTGAAGCAACTGAAAGCTTAGCTAGAGTTTATAGAGCTTATCTTCACGTGAACGCGATGAAAGTAACATGTAAACTATAAGTTTTCTCATAGAGGCCATTCTGGACCATTTTATCAAAATCGGTCCACCCAGTAAAAAGTTATCAGGTAACAAACAGAAAAACAATACAGTCGAATTGAGAACCTCCTCCTTTTTTTCAAGTCGTTTAAAAAGAAGGTAGAACGACCATTAGTTATGTCTTTCAAAATCGAAATCAAAATTATCATAATTCAAATAAACTTATAAAAGTACTTTTGAATCGTCTAAGATTTTTTTACCAAAGAAGCTCTAACAGAAGCGACAATATTTACAAAAATGATTAATTAATAATTTCATTCGAACAATTTCAATGTATATATTTTTTACTTTTCTTGCCGTCATTATGACGGGCTCTGCGTTCAAGCAGGGTTAAATTAATATTTCTTGCTCTAGCCAAAGTATTTTTGGCATGTATAAGTATGTTTTTGACCAAGACCACACCCAAATAACTACACACTTACGTAAATTAGAATCTTCTTTTATAAATAAAATACACATGAATGTACTCTACGTAAAATAAATCCCAGATAATAGAACATTTTCTAATTGAAAAGAGAACTAATACAACGATTTCAGTGATTCGGCAAAAATGCATAATGGCTGAAAAAAATACCATTGGCTTTTCTGCTTACAATCTTTACAATTATGTCTTCTGTAATCGGTGATAGTAATTTATTTAATACTATTTGTTTTCACGCGACCTCGGCCACATAAATTATGACCTATGTCAACCGTGTATGATTTGCTTCCAGTAGTAGAATTTTAAAAAACGATACAGTAATATCGTGTTCGATAAAAAAAAACAAACCAATATTTCCATATTATAATAAGTATTAATGTAGACGACTAAAAAAGTTATTATATCGAAGGAACGAGAATAATCCAACAAAGCATCGATTAAAAATGGCTACCTACACCTAATGTAACATTAATAAGGTATTGCAAATAAGTATTCAGGGCGTAACAATAATGTTTCATCGTTGTTTTCTAATTAAAAGAGACAATAATTACTAATAAAAGGATAATAGTGAAGATAAGCGATTGATTTTTATACTATCGATACTTTTTTGTATAAACTAGTTACTTTTTGGCCACGACTTCTTTTGCGTTTTTAACAATCTTTTCTTGATTTAATACTGTAAGATTTATTTAAAAATATACGTTTAACCGACTTAAAAAAAGGGTGTTCTCAATTTCAGTGAATGATTTTTTATCTATGTTCCACAATATCTTCGTCAGTAATGGATCGATTCTTGAATATATTCTCGAGGATCAGTAGTTTTGTTTTTTAATAAAAATTCTCAGAAACTAAAAGGGCGGCTAACAAAACCAATAGGGATCATTTGAATTTGGGAGAGGCCGTGTTAACCACCCATTTAAATTAATTTTACTGAATTCGTAACCCTAATTTCTTACAGCCAGTTGCAAAAACGTCCATTAAAATTGGTATTCGTTTGAAGCGACTTTATCCAAATAGATTTGACATTTATTAGAGCCTAAAGGCGACATTAAACCTTAATGGACATTTGTGTCTAAATTAATTAATAATTAAAATTTACGATTTATTATTCATTTTAAAGGAACCCTTCGAGAATACCCTAAAAAAAAACATTAATTGATCCTCGTGATCCTCGTCTGAACTCAAACACTTTATTGGATTTTTAACATTAAAAAAAAGCATAATTTGAATTTTAAATCGCTACTTATATAATATACGCGAAAATAACCCTATCTGTCTCTTAACGCTTTCACGTCAAAACCACTAAACTTATTTTAAGGTATTGAACAGCGAGAGAGGACTTTGAGAAAGAACATAGATTACCTCTAATCGCGAAAAGGGGGGTAGATTACCGCAGTGGTTAGAGCGTTCTAGATATTTCACAAGTTCAGCAACTTTCGCAAGGGATGCTCAGCATCAGGGATGGGTGATAAAAAAATTGTTATCTCGAGTTCCTCCGTGTTTTTTATAATGTTAAGCTAATATTGCTCCTGACTGCATCTCACCTATCGTTAACACATACCAATCCGTAATGGGCCTGTGTGATGTGTTATGTTTTACCTCAGCATTAATAGGCTGATTACGTTGAAGTATTTTTAGTTTTCATGTAGCAAACGTATTTTTTCTTATTTGGTTTTATTAATTTAAAATAAACGACACGGTCGGTTGTCTCCCCGGCGGCGACAACACGGGGTGTACTCTATTCCATTTCCGTTTCTTCTTCTCTTTTGCAAACTTCACTCTGTTCTCAAGGAGCTGTATGTCTTGTTGCTCTTCTAAAACATTCTTGATGCTCGCTAGCACGTCAGCAGGATTGGAAGCCGTTACGAGTAAAGCATCTAGTTTGACAGCTACCATCGCGCAACTCTCAGAAGACATCTGTCGAAAATGCACACACGGCTGCAAGTCAAATTTCCGCAAGTGATTTTGAACTCCACTTATAATATATTAAGAAATTGCACAGTTTTATATAGCATGGCGTGCTGTTGACCGTACGGACATATGTTTAACCGTACTATACTTATAAAACAACTTGTTCTGAGTGATTTATCATCATCCACCGTAAACTTTAAAGTTGGACCTGACTCCACAAATTTACTGACTAAACACGGACCCATGTTAAGTCAGTAATTTTGTGGAGACACAAACTAAGGAATGATTTTTAATAATTTAATCCCTAAAAAAAGAACCCTCTTTGGGTTGAAAATTTGTAGTCCATTACATTGGAGTTATAAACATTGAACTTTATTTTGCGAATAGGGGAAATAAGTTACCAACTAAACTTGAAAGAAAAATCCACGCGAGCAAAGTCACTTCACTTTACTAAACTTTGAATGCGTGAATTGAGCAAATAAACCGAAGTTAAAAAAAAAACTAATCTCAATATAATACAGATACCTAATTTTGTAAGATTAATAACAATTATCTTGTCTAATTTTGGCAATAGGTTCTTCTGTCGCAAATAAATACTTATTTTTATTTTCTTACCAGTTATGCCCACCCTTCATAGTTCCATCGTTTTTAATATCAGAATAATCGCCGTCCATCGATCTATAGTATCGTTTTTATTAAAAAACGATTACGATTAAGTAATGTTGACTAACGAGACCATATATGCTATTAAACAAAGTAACTCTTTCAATGTGTGGGCTATCGATAAATAAAATGACGTTATCCACACAACACTGTTAGAAAACACCTGGATGTCAAAATAAAGAAATCTTACCCAAAACCACAGCCAACAAATTAAATACCTTATTAACTATTAGTACCTTCAAAACTATAGGTTTAAATTGCTCCAGTTCATCATTATCTGATTGTCCCTCTAAAGTCTTTGATCGTAACCAGCTGTAGTTAGACGTAACCATTTTTCTAGAATGTTCTATCTTCGACTCGCGAAGTAAAGAGTCCATCTGAAAGTTTGTAGTAAAAAATAGGGGATATTAACCTATTATGGAATATGATACCCAGTGTTATAATTATTGTTTATAAAAAAATATATACGTTTTGGAATAAGCCAAGCAAATCCGTAAACATATTGCGAATTTCAGATCAGAGCCTTTCCACTACGTTAACGAGCTAGTAAACAATCACTACCTTATTTTTTATTGATTTTGTGCTAATAATAATATAAGAGAAAACTAGACATCGAGCCCGTTGATTAAAAGTCGATATGTGTTCATACATATCGCACTAAGTAATTATCAATTTACAAACAGTTTTTTCTCGAACATGACCAAAAAGAGCATAAAAAAAACTTGACTGAATTCGCGCCTTTAATTATTCCTCGCATTATACAGTTGGATAAACACTTGCTATTTGATTTATTACTTAGATTAAAAGAGGAATTAATAAAAAAACAATTTAGATAAAAACCGATTCAAAAAAGCTTAGTGAAAGTGAAAAATAAATTCAGGAAGCTTCTATTGAACCTACACAAAATACCCCAGCACGACTTGGATAGAAGTTTCCTGAATTCACTTTTTCAAGCTTTTTCGCAGTAAGTTTTACTGTAGATATTTATCCTGATAGAAGCCTAAGTGACACCAGGATATTGCGAGTTTAGTCGTTGCTTCAGCATCACTCTATGCTTATGCCCATTGCTGAGTCGCTAGCCTCTCAAGAATAATCTATAAACAACTACTACCATGACCGACTATTGTGAAAGTTATAGATAATACTTACATGTTGTATCAAATCATTTGGTGAGAACAAATGTTGTGATGACATCGTACGATTCACAAAGTCATATATATTAAATGAGTACAGTAGGTAGGCAAATAGTTATCAAAGTAAGCATTTTTCACTAAAATATATTCCCAATACCATTCTATCAATTCCATTGATATTTAGTAGATATTAATATCTTGATAAGGGAAACTCATAGATATAATAAATATGAATTTGTTTGTTTGAATGTATTGATTTCCAGACGCTTCGATCGGATTTGATACCTAACAATAAAGCTATCTTTAATGAAAAATGCTTAAAAAATCTATGACCCAGGGGTTGCAATCTCGATAGCGTTACGTACAGGGGGCCAATTCTACTAAAAATAAAACTGGAATTGTATCGTATGTCACTTTGTAGAATAGGAAAACCATTAAAAACTTTAGTTTCGTTTGGTTTCGATCCGTTTTCTATTCGATTTAAACAAAATTTATTTAGTAGAATTAGCCCCCTGATCGCAGAACTCACTAACCGAGCTGTGATCGGTAGGAAACTTACGAATATCGCTAATTTGATAATTGAACTCAGTTCACGCCTAAGAAATAATAATATACTTGGCTCTAAAGATAATAATATCTCAATTGCAATGATCGTAAAAATTCCTATCGCTTTCAGTTAGCGACCGGATTCCGTGAGAGAGCGCCCCAGGTGATGGGACTCGGTTTACGAAAGGTTGTGGGTCGAGTAAGGTTAATTTTTTAAGCATTTTTCATAATTTTTTATCAGTATAACATTGTGAATTGAAAATCGATCAAGTATAATAATATTACAAGATTTCATTTACTTGTCGTGTTAGATAAGTAGTTTGTGGGTGAGAGTAAAAATTTGCAAGCTAAATCTGACCCTCATTGAGCTTTTTTTTTCGGTTAAGCTGAAATCTAATGTAACGTTTTTATTCGCAAATAGGACATCGGATAGCAATGGTTCTTTTTTAGCTTTCAAATTAGGGAACAACACAAGTTTCATCAATTTTAGTTTTGTGGTTTTGAGATATAAATTAGATACAAGTGGTGAAGCGATTTTAAAAAATATGTACATAATTTTTTTATAAAATAGTAAATGCTTAATTAAAGTTTTAATAATAAATTCTGGAAACTTCATTTCAAATCGAGTAGCATTAGAACACATACAACTTACACAAAGCCCATGGTTTTAATATATTCCTGAATTTTTTCGCTAATTTTAATAAAAAAAACAGACAAAACCAAGTGATTCAATATAGTTTTGTAATGAATAGTTTAACTTTTATTGAGCTTTTTATTATTGCGCTATCATTATTAACGTTAACTTATCTATCGATAACATTTTGCAATCTAATAAAGTAAATATGACGCTAAAGATAACAATAATAAAAGCTCAGATATCTCAAATAGCAATTATGACGAAATACGAACTTAAGAGGGCGCGTAAACAAAATTTAATCAAATTACTTGTGAAAAGTAACACTTACCTAAAGCTATAATTAAAAATGAAAACACTACATCTTACGTCTAAGGGTTTCGTTAGTTATAGCGTGCAATTATTTTATCTATAAGTTTATAAAAATATACAAAGTTACTTCTAAAATAGACATTTTTTTATTTACTGTCGTAATAAGAATCTCTCCTGTAATTTATGACTATAAAAAAATAATTGAATCATACTAACCTTAGTATTATTATTAAATTAGAAATAGCTAAAGTAAATAACAATGAAGAGTGTGCGTGTGACCTTTTTTGCTAAGAATATATTAAGATAGAGTAAACATAAAAGAACCTTTAAGACACGAATAACCTATTATCAACCGGCGCTATACTGGTGGACGTGGACCGCGGGAGTGGCTGGGGCTGGGCTGGCGGGGCGGCAATACGCTATCAGTCTCTAGGCGGCAAATATCTAAATCCGCCTCTGTAGGTCAGTTGTTAGGTTCTGGGTGACTACGAAAATCCGTGTCCCATCTCAGAGTGCCAAGGACAAAGTGGATTTTTTAAGCATTTTTCATTAAGTACCTATGTTAGAATAGTATTATAAACCAAACAATTTAAATGTTCAACTTAGTGCTATAAGAAACCGGATGGAGACACCACCATACTTGTAAAATACAACTGACTATATTTGGTTGCTTTATATCTCTTTCTCTGTGGTCTACATTTTGATCAACCTCACCTCTGCGTTTATTGATTGTAATAAAACTTTATGTATCTATTCAATCAAGTGTTTTTCTGCCCTAACCCTTCAAAGAATTAAAACTTTTTTTAAATAAAATACGTTTAATCACAAATAACAAATACCTATTTTCAAAAACGGACCTGAATAATTGGTGTCTGCAACTGCCTGGCTTCTAAGCTTATTCTTAGGTTGTGTTATGTTGGATCCTGTACGCTTAGCATGACGAACTCGAGAGTTTTGTTTATACCCAAATATCACATTTCCTAAGTACGCTCATCTGATATCTCACTCTTGAAAGATAAAGTTTGAGGTAGACAACGCCTTGCTATTCTTTTTTTTTTTTTGCCAACCTTATTATTCTTTGCGTGCTACTTTTAATGAAAGGCATTCCGAAGACATGCTCCTGGTCACAATTGGAAAATGTCTTATTGGCACTTTAAATAGATTACATTAAGTACAAATTGCTATAATAAAACTACTACAGATTTCAAAGCAAAAAATCTGAATTACACATAAATGTCACGTGTTATTATATCACAATTAAATATCTCGTTGTATGTTAAAATTCTGGACAAATGATATACAATTTAGTCTTAGGATTTCATTCGATATTAACTGTCGATATTTAGGTTTTTTAATATCGATGTTTTGGGCGTCGATATATAACGGTTATCCGATATATCGTGCATCCCTAAGAAAATGCTCCCTACATTATAATGTGGTAATATATAATTTAAAGTAGAAAATGTACAAAGGCGTTTTTAGTATTTTTCATTAATCTATCTACCTTACAGACAGACAGTCCCAAATTTTCATCATCATCCCTTATCCCACTGAAATACCCTTATTACAGAGAAAATTGGCAAATATGTGAGTCACTTTATAGCCGAGTGATACCTATATGCAAAACGTAAGTAACTACATCCAATATCAAAAGTTATCTGACTTTTAAATACATATAACACAACTATAAATCTAAAATGTTTCAATCAAATTTATTCTTTAGTCTACTTATGAGTCTGGTGAAAAAAAATTAACTCCTAGCTGTCTTCCCCCGACTTCGCCCGCTTAAATTAAAGCGTATAGGTATCACCCTCATATGATGTAAACGTTGGTGGAAGATAGATTTCTCCATCTGTCTTAAGAACAAGTAATAAGTCTGCTTTATTGTCTTTGTTTGCTTACTTTCGTAGATGAACTTTCTTACGTTTAAGGTTAGTTAAAACGGGCAGAAGACTCTTTGCGTGCCCTCTATAAATGCTATATAAAGGTAGGTAGGTATAGACTCTCTTGTCAATGAAAGACTCGGTTCTTTCATTGTCAAAACTGTCATCAAATTATCATTTATCAAAATGCTTGTAACAGATCTTTCATTCATTTCATTTTCATTTTACATGTAGAAATTAATTTATTCACTTGACATTGGCAGAATTGTGCGAAATGCGCAGATAAGCCATTAATAAAAGAAGAAGAAGAAGATGCTTGTAACATAAATCGGTTTCGAGTAAATTTTCGCGAAAATGCCAAACGACAATGGAAATTTGTTTCAAATTGTCAAGAGTTTTTGGTTTAGAGTGATGGTTTGTAGTAAAGTGATGTGTTGTTTCCCATTAGACAAGATAGGCTTAATGGTAAACCCGTCTTGTCACAACAGCACTTTCAGCAGAAGTAATATGAAGTATATGCCCAATAAGAATCGATTGCTAAGTAGGCATGTCTTCGAAGCCAAAACTCCAAACATATCAGAAACATCCAGAAGCAAATCACGTAAATTCAGCAGTAACAGGTCATTGAAAACTAACAAAACATCAAGTAACGGCATCGAGAATGATTTAAATACCAAAATGCAATGGGTGAAAATAAAGAAACTTAAAAAGGGCGGCAAACCGGACTTAGTGCCAAAGTTGACCACAGACAATATAGAGGCACACGTCGTGAATGCTATTTACGATAAAAGTACAAAGAACACAAAGAATATTTTTCATGGTAAAAAAAACTTCAGCCAAACAGGTCTCACAAATAACGATGACGAATCCAAAAACAGCAGTTCTATTTATGAGACCAGGGAATGTATTTTAGAAATGTTCGATAACTTCACGTAATTGTTTGTCCAAATAAAACTAAAAATCCAGTATATTCCATTTTTATTATAATTTTGTGTAAGCATCAAAAATAACAAGATTCAAATAATTTTCCTAAAACAGATCGTATTTAAAATCTGTTATTAATTACAAAACAAAATTAGCAAGTAAGTTTATTAATAATAAATAAGGACTACACTAACAAGGTTACTTTCACAATATCACAGTGAATAATTTGTTAACACAAATTAATCTTTAAAAAGCTCTTATTTCAATTAACATTCGAGTAAAACGTCATTGAAAATGTGGATGATACATTTTGACCGTTGACACCTGCAAAGCGAAATAAAACAAAACTGTTTTGTTGACAGATTGTATAGCAATCAATATATTTTAAAAAGCCAATATTTTCCCATGCAATTGTCAAAGTCATATCCTATTTCCAAAATGCAAATATTATATAAATGCGACGCGCGACGCAAAACTTTCATTTTAAGCCCTGTCCAGAAGAACGCGCTTAGAAGACGCGTTTTGTTACACATTGTTCAAAATAAATTATAAATAAATAAAACATTTGCAGCAACGAACAACAAAGTCGTTTATAGGTGCTAGCCCTTCGCTTCGAGTTGGCCGTCGACAATCTTACTATATGACGTCATAGAGACATCAAGCGGCACCGTCGACAAAGAAGTAATTATTGCATTTCTACTCAGCTTAACTTTCCATCAGTTAAAAAGTTGTTCGGAGTTGATATTTTGACGTAAAGATTATGAAGTAAACGACTATATAACAACACAAAATAAAACTTAAAAAAAAGTAGAAGTGGTAATCCAGCGATGTCGTTGCTAGCGGTACTCAGTGGGTCAACCTCAAAGTACAGTTCGGTGAAACGGGTAGGTAGTAGTGACCAACTTGAAACAAACGTCTAATATAGCATAAATATAGTATAATTATTCATATATATAAATAGAAAAGAAAGAGTAGACAAATTGGAATGAATATAATGTAACGTAAAAAAAACATTAGTGAAATCGAACTAGATGTCGCTACGGTACTTTCTTGATTTCTCCATGAAAACCGTTCCGGTTTTCTTTCATGTATAAAAGTAAATTAATTTTTAAAACTCGATAAACAACTCCTATTCTATTTGTACTTTTTCATATTTGTATTGATATCGAAGTTTAGAACTTTGCAAATTTCAGTTTTTTTTTATATGTTAGTTAAAAGGAACGGAAATCTTTGGTCCAATCGTTACCTGCAAAAATCAACTTTTGGTAGAGTTGCCATCTAGTGAGGAGCTTTTTAGTGCTTTCTTTTTTTTTCTTAAAATAGTTCCTCATTGGAGTGAAGGACACTTTCTCACTTTTTACTTTGAAATATATTATTAATTCCATCTACCAACTGAAATTAATCTGCCCCGCTTTAGTAAATCCCAAAATTACCTCCTGGACTCTACTACTATAAAGAAAATATATAAACAAACCGTCGCATCGTTCTGCCACAGTCCCATTTTGTGCTAATCACGCATGTAGCGCTTCTAAAACTAGGGTAGGTCGTCACGACATATAATTGGTTCAAAAAAATCCCAATATCACCCATATTGGGATTTTATTAACATTGATACATAAATAAATCAGGTTTATAAATAAGACTCAAAATACAGAGCTAACAAATTAGGAACAGATATTATTACAGTTGGTAGTTTTTTTATTTTTATTTATCTAGTATTTAGAAGTATAAATAAGCATTAAATATAAATTTTCTCCAGTCTACGTAGCTAAGTCAAGGCATGCTATTCATAAGATACAAGCTGATAATGACATTTAAAACAAACAACGGTTGACATGACAGTGTTAAACATCTTGCACATAGACAGAATTATCATTTATTTTTAGTTCGGTTAGTGAAATAAAAAAATAAAAAATCGAAGTTTTCTTCATTTTCGTTTCAACTTAATTGCTTTAATGAAAGGTACTATCTCTGGAAATATTGGTAACTTACTTTAGCACCCGATATATTTATATTTTGGTCGTCACTCGAAAAGGTTATTAACCACTGGTTTAGGAATAAATTAAAAACTAATTATCTATTACCATGCAAAATTCACCTTAAGCGAAATTAAACTATAAACAAATTGAACTAGAGACCAAAACGCATCAATTTAATTTTTTTTCTGCTTCGAAGACGTCGTGTAAGGCCACATAGAGAGAAATGGTGATAATTTTAAAAACAAAAATGGTTTGAAGGCGCTTAATACAAAATTTAACGCGTAAAATTTGAAGGCACTCTCTTTGGGAATGTTTTCTTCTAGATATCTAGCACCAAATAGTAATATAGTTGTAGCGAGTGCTGATATTATTAAAGATCTATCTTTGGTATAATGACGGTACCTGTAGAAGAAGAAAAACAGTTTATTAAATTATCAGTACTTAATATCATCATCAACCCATTAACGTCCCCACTGGAGGTCATAAGCCTTCCCGGCCATTAGACAATCAATCTGGATCGGGGTCAGATCAAAGTTGTGGATTAAAATTCAATATCATTTATTAACTCTAAGTGTTAGAAGTACTTGTGAATGTCGAAAACTGCGCCATCGTTTTGCACATCTACGGCGGGAAACTTTGTATCAAGAAGAACCGGCAAGAAACTCAGCAAAGGCGGCTTTTTTCTCCCTGTTTTATTTCATACAGAATGTGAAGTCACTTTCCATTACATAAAAAATACAGAAGAATATATTTGTTTCTTTAATTGATCAATATGCCGTGTCATATTAATTCATTGATACCTAATAAAACTAATATACAATATGCGTAATAACAGAAAATTATTAAATTAAGTAGTCTAGAGCAGATTCATCCCCACGGGCAGCACCTATTCACGAGCATGACGCATGAGCTAGCCATCGCTTCGCTCAACTATATTATAAGGAAAGTAACAACATACTCTGGGTACTCAAATTAGGATAGTGTATGATGTGATTGATAACAAATTCTAATTATATGGATAGTATGTGGTCCATTTGAATCTGGCATCTATCAATACACTTCTCACTCAATCGTATCAGGATCACGATTGATTTTTGGTTGGCCCGATATGGTTAGAATCGTGTCGCATAATTTTTTCGGCTTTTTTCTCCTTGTTTTTTTTTTTACGTACAAGTACAATTAGAAAGTCACTTCATTAGACAGTCAGAATTATAACTTCACTAGTGGACGCCCGCGACTTCGTCCGCGTGGAAGTCGGTATCCCGTGGGAGTGAGAAGTTTTCCCAGTAAAAAGTACCCTATGTGTTATTCTGATGTATAACCTATATTGCTGTAAAGTTTTATCCAAATCCGTCCAGTAGTTTTTTCGTGAAAGAGTAACAAACATCCATACATCCATACTTACAAACTTTCGCCTTTATAATATTAATAGGATATTCATCGTGTAACTTAATGGCCAAACAGTCGCCCGAATTGCGAAAGGTTATGACTTCGAATAGTAGCTCGGTGGCGTAGTCAATTAACTCCGCGGCCCGCGATCGATGTCGTTAGGCAACTTTCGCAAGGGTCGGTCACGGGATGGGTGACCAAAAATTAATATCTCGAGCTACTCCCTGCTTCAGAAGGCACGTTAAACCGTTGGTCCCGGCTGCATTTACAGTCGTTAATACCCTCCAATCCGCACAGGGCCAGCGTGAAGGGTCATGGCCCATGCTCCTTAACCATCCATAAGGAAGGTCTGAGCCCCTGCAGTGGAGACGTAAAAGGGCTGATGATGATGATGATGATGATGACTTCGAATCTCATCTTGGGACAGGTGAATTTTTTGATTTTTTTTTTAAGTAAATTTCAGTTGCTCATGCAAAATCATTAAATATAATAAAAAGAATAAGGTGTTTAACTTACTTGGCGACAGCTGGCGTGACGCTCAAAGCCCATCCTAATAATGAAGCAGTGGACTGAACCAACGCGAACATGGGTGTTGTTGACACGCGGATAGAATCCGGATACTCGCACCAACGGAACGCCTGATATCATATTAAAAAAATATATTGAAAACCGTCTCACGTGACATATCAAATGAAAAAGTTTGTTATCGAAGTTAAAGGTACAATATATTGATTCACTTTAAAACGTCTTTGGCGTTTTAAAAAAAAAGCCTAACAATAACATCCCAATCTCATTATCTACGAAACTACTACAAATATAAAAATTACAGTGAGGCCCTCGAGAGAATACCTTTCTGACAGATCATATTGAATTCAACGACATAACTTTGAAATGGTGTTTTATTTTATTATAAAAATTATCTGTGAAAATTTTAACTGCATTAATTAATTTGCAAATGACTATTTCGTAAATGTAAAAAAATATTATGTTGGCGCATTACAAGATTAATTTGAAGGCTATAATGATAGAATGTTAAGTGTGGCCTATTTTCATAAATAACTTTAATAATTAATAATAAATGTATAAGTCTAATTTAGCGCGCTTCTTACTTATGTTATAATAAACTGGAGAAAATTTAGTCTTTACAATTGTCATTTATGCAATACATAAAGGATTATTAACTTGAGTTTACAAGTTGTTAGCAAAATTATTCATGGATATTGTCTTTTACGTCTTTTTAATAAGACAATATCCATGAATAATATTTTATCAGTACCGTTGCTTTTTTACAAATTACTGATACCTTCTTTTATCAGTGAATTGTAAAAAAGAAACGGTATCACTATACTTTTTCGTATAAAGTCCGGTTAAGGTACATCACTATTTAAGAATTGCAAAAACTTAGCAACACAGTAAATTTAGTCTCGGAAATTAAAACAGATTTTTACTATCACTATTCATGAAATACAGGCTGGTGACAGACGGATAGACAGACAGAGGAACGGACAGCGGATTCTTAGTAAGTGTCCCATTTTTTACCCTTTGGTTACGGTACCCTAAATACGACATTATTTATTATATCGACTGATATTACACCTAATGAGATTGTTCTAAATTTAGTGCTGAGAAAACATTATTTATAAAGCATACAGACAACCGGAGCCGACTTTGTTTTATACTATGTACGAGTATAGATATGTCGTAGTACCATAATAAATAAATGAAATCATACGTTTTTTAGACAACAATCTAAGGGTTTAATTTTAAGATCTACCGCAATCTCTTTTAATTTGACATTTAAAAGATGTTCACGAACTTCACACTACAACTGTTTGGCATGATATATAGCGTAAGGTGCAAATATCTTTAAAACTATTGAGAAATGCTATCTGCTATATTACCATTTAAATCATGATATGATATAACTCACCAATTTCACGGTCCACTGCGGATCCATATCGCACAACACTAAACTGCCATACGTGACCACACTGATGAGTATAGTCACCACAGCCGAGAACACGTGCCAATAAATGGCACGTTTAGTGTCACGGGCCGAATGTTTACCATAACCCCATATATACGGATCGGATACGTAGATGCATAGTGCAGGAGCTAGGAATGAACCTGAATAATAATATAACACGTTTATGCCCTTGCTAATAATAACAGTATCTTTAAAACTATTAGAGTCTATTTTAACTATTTAGTCATACATAGCTGTGTTCACGTGATTCCAACGTGACTTTTAGTTAGAGTGAAAAAGACAAAACTCTATATAACTATACAACGGTTATATATCGCTTATTTGTAAGGCCGTTATAGTTGAGTTTCGTTTATATGTATAGACGAAATAATATTCTTCTTTAGTGTCTATGTGTTTTTATATCTCAAGCAAAAGGATAGAAAAAAAATTATAACAAAAATATCCGATTATATAATATCCGATAATGGCAAAAGATATTGACAATATTTTGAATTATACCTCGTGTGTGCATAACTTTTGAGACCAAATAAAAGTTGCGTAACTGTTTTAACTTATATGTCTAAACTTTGCAGCATTAAATAGATAATAATCAACAATAAAACCCTTGTTTTTAATACAGGCCCTTAGAAGATTTGGCCAGTAATCGATGGCTGCACGAATCTTTTCTAGCGGAATACGCTTTGCTTCTCGAACAAGGGTTCGCTTCAGTGACTCCAAGTTTGGGTGGAACTTTCGGCAGGCCATGAGCTCTAATTCAGTTTATAAAGAATAATCCAGCGGGTTGAGGTCGGGTCTGGAGCAGGGCCACTCGTCCGCCGTGATGAAGGCCGGCACATTCTCCCTCAACCAAGCTTGGGTGCTTTTGCCTTTTTGGATAGCGACGAGTCTTACTGAAAAACCCAATATTTATCGTGAAATAAGTTTCAGACAGGGGTTTTACCACGGACTAGATATGAGCGATACGCCGGCGCGCCGCCGTCGCTGTGAAATAAAATATTAGGGTTAATAAAATATTAGGGGTTAAAGTATGAAATTGCCGTTTTATTGTAATAGGTTCCTTGAATTGACATAGAATCTTCATGGTTTGAGGTTTTCGAAAGAAACTTTTTTCACGTGGTTTCTAAGATGTTCTTCTTTTAAAAAATGTCAAACATTTGAATATCGACTTAGGCAAGAAAGATACGAAAATTCGATTGATTTTTGAATACGAGTTCCGACGTAGAAGTAACGCGCCAGAAGCAGCCTGCAATATCAATTTCGTGTTTGGAGAGGGGTTTGCTAATGAACGCACCATGCGATTTTGGCTTAAACACTTTCGTGATGGAAACTTCGATTTGACAAAGAACAAGCCACGACGAAGATCGCCACATAAGTGAATAACGATGAATTAAAAGAGGTGGTGGAAGCCGATCCTAGTCAAACAAAAATTGTTCAACGTTATCTTACCCACAATGTTAACTCATTTGCGTCAAATCAATAAAATAAAATAAAAAAGTACGAAAAAGGGTGCCTCATGATTTGACTGATCTTCAGAAAGAATCACGTGTTGAAATTTGTTTTGCCTTATTGAATCGGTACAAAAATGAAGGAATATTGGATGTTTATGATAACCTAGTAGATTCTTATAATAGTAGATTCTGTATGATAACCGTAAAAGAAAAATTCAATGGCTGACCCCAGGTGAAACGCGACAATAGTGTCCTAAACAAAACTTACCAATAAAGAGATAATGGTAAACTGTTTGGTGGTCTCAGCTTGGTGTTGTTCACTATAGTTCCAGCTCCAATCTGGTCAAACAATAACGGCAGATGTCTATTGTACCGAACTCTGAACAATGTTAGCAAAACTAGCAGTAAAACAGCCCCGACACATGAGTAATAATGGTAACTATTAATAGTGAAAGCTTACTCTAAAGGTATAGCTACAAGTTATCTTCTTAGACATTTGAAAGAAGCACATGGCGTAGAAGATGTACAAAAGTAGCAGCCTTCGAGGATATCACAGTTTTTTTTTTTCGACCAAGGATTCCAAAAACCAGTAGCAGTTTTAAGAAGAGCAATAAGTGGTGTCTTTCTTGAGATTTGGCTCTTTGGTTTGCTAGATATTTGATTCCATTTGACACTGTGGAAAATGATGCAATGATTGACTTTTTGAAAAAGTACAAACAACATTATTGTTTTCGACGCAGAGGTGCCCTCCAGGCACAATATAGCACGAAAAGGACTGGAAGATGTGTACAACAGCATGCTGGCATGAAAAAAATATATAAATCAAAGTCCTCGTTTTGGTGCATTAACCGCTCATACATGGATCGACCAATATAGGTAGTAGTAGTTGGCATTTTTTTTATTAAAAAAAATTCAGCTTCAGAAAAGCAATTTTGATTCGTTGAAAGTTTATATCGATCTCATTGAAATTATTGTTGCGAGTTTATACATATCTTTAGAAACAGTTTTATTTCATTTCTCTTAAAAATACAATTCAAGAACGTGCAATTTTACATCGGTCTATTTCATTAAAATTACTGATGCTACTTTATTTTTTGGAAATGTGATTTATATTAGTTATGTCAAAAATGATTAAACTGTTTAAAATATATATTTTCTTAAGTATTAATAATATTTTATTTATTCTGAAAAAAATGTAAACCACGCCGGCGCGCCGTCGGCGCCGTAGAATATTTTACACCACGCCGCCGCCGTGGAATTAGCCATCGGCGCTCATATCTACCACGGACTCTAAAATGTCACTGTGATAATTCTTGGCTTTCATCTTGACACCTTGTTGGCAAAAATGGAGCTGAGTGACGCCTTCATACGAAACTACCCACCATACCATTACACTAACAAGAAGATGAGTGCGCGAGACATTCCGTGCAGAAGTAGGGACACCCTTGCTACTTTTAGCGTACACTTTATTGTTTCGTCGGTTGAACTTTTCTTCGGCAGTAAAATTTTTTTCGTCGGTGAAGAATATCTTCCCGGCATCATGTCTCCTCAGCAGCAATGGTCAACGATCGGGTCGAATTTTACGAAGCCGGTAACATTTTATTTATTTTTTTCAGTAAATAGTTTGTCTCAAAACTTATGAACACACGAGATAAACATTTTAAAATATAACTGGCGCCATCTAGTAATGGCAATAGAAACTAAGTAATAAATTTTATATACTACTCGCACCAATTAACATGACAACCCCAACTCTGTTTCTCCGGGAATGAACTTTCGTTAATTTGGGAAATGCTATTGTGACTCTGAAAAAACTAATTTCTCTGTAATTTTTAATGCAACCGAGGCAAGACTTGATACTACCTCAGATATCTTCACAGCTATGATTTTAACAAAATTATAACAACGATTCGAAATTTTCCGAATTTTCGTTCGAGGACAAATAGAATAGAATAAGGTCTCGTGTTACGGTCAACACCACATTAGACTGCAAAACTGTCAAATTTCTCCACTTTATTTTAAACTTTAATGCATGATAGTTACGAATTCAAAATCAATTGAGGAAATTTAAAATATTGTGGTAATCAGGCTTGACAGATAAAAATTATCATAATTTTTATTTTTGGTATATATGTATTTAAATATTTAATACCAATTTCTTAGTTTCTACAGTAAACACTAGAATGGCACCATTCATTTTAAAACGTAATAAACATATTGGAGTGTTGTACAAATAGACTAAATAATTTGGAATACTGTTTAAACAGAAAAAATCATTAATTAATAATACCTATAAAAAGATCCTTAAAAAATGTATCTATTGAAACTTAAAAATTAGCACATGGAGTGTTGTATAAATAGACAAATTAATTTGAAATATTGTTTAAACATAAAAATTCTTTAATTATTTATTCCTCAAAAAATGTTTTTAAAGAAATGTATCTATTGAAACTTAAGAATCAGGATATGGAGTGTTCTAGATATAGATGAATTAATTTGGAATTTTGTTTAAACAGAAAAATAATTTATTCATAAGTAACACCTATAAAAATGTATATAAAGAAATGCAGCTATTGACACTTAAGAATCAGCATATATATACACAAGGACATACCGACAAGAGCACCAAGTATACATTGGTGAGGAAAATGTGTCGCGATGAACATTCGCGCGAGCATCACCGAACCGAGCGCCGCCGCGAACAACGGATACGATATGTATTTCCACCACCACACGTAACATTTCCTGAAATAAACAAAAATAAATTATTAATCAAACAATAAAATCGTATAGATACATCGTCATTCCTTAGCCAGTTGTGTATTGTGATATACATATCTGTGCTAAATATTGACTGTACTACAAATGCATGTGAAAGGTGAGAACTTTAATTAAGAAAATATTACAAAACTTAGGCTTTAGTTTAGTTAGATCAAGATAAAAATTTGCCTTATACAAATATGAGATAGCGGACTACGATTGCTGAAAGAAATATGTTTATATTGGCGAAATATTGAAATAAACATTAAAGTTACTTATAACTTATCATAAGTTACTTTAATACTAAAAATTTTCATGTATTATACAGGAATATTCTTTTTCCAGTGCGAAAATTTTTTTTGGTGATTCAGTATATAACACTTTGCCATAATTAGACAATTTTTTTTAAATATTTTTATCCCTATTGAAACGGTAGAATATGGACACATTTTTTTAAATAAAACTTCAATGAAAACGTCTCCTCTTGCGTATACCACCGTGCATCCCCGCCGCGCCCGGCAGTCCCCCGCCACAGCCCCCACCGCTCGGGACCGGGCGACGCACGCGACAGTCGCGGCAGTGAGACTCATACGCATCCTCGCGTTCCCGCGCAAGCGCAGTGTCCGTCGCAATCGTGAGTTTTACGGATGGTACGAGTTTATCTTCTGAGTGGTGAGAACCTAAGCGCAGTTCGAAGAAAGTATGCGACGGGAGCATCCCTCGAATGCGAGCCTTTGGGATCCGTAACCCCGCGGTCCCTAATGCGCGAACCAATTTAACAGACGAAGTCCCAGAGCCAGTACCCACGATGCAGTACGTCGCTGTGGTGTGAGCCAGCCCACGGTACTGAAGCTGGTTAATACAGCGGGACTCCATCCGCACCACTTTCAGCCGGTTTAGCAGCTCCATGACCTAGACCCAGTATCACGTCGAGCCCTATGCGAGTGGCTTCTACATCACCGCGATGCAAACATCTTGTGGACGGATGACGCATTGTTCACACGTGTGGGACTGTTTTTTAAGGGAATAAGTCAAACGCCGGGATGAAGAGGAGGCACAAAGCCTAGAAAACTTAACAATAAAAATAATAACGCTTTTAGTGGTGAAAAGTGACACTAGTGTTTTAAATAAATTTAATGACAATTTAATGAAATGTGCACGTTTATGTCTGGACAGAGGTGGACTTTATTTTGAACAAATATTAAAATACAGTGATCAGTACATGGTAAGCAATTATTTTTAGTTGGGTATTATTATTGTAGTTAGGTATTATTTTTGATTCTACATTACTGTAAATACGTAGTTGATTCCAATTTTTTAAATACGCCTTTACGCAGAAATATATTTATATTTTTCTAGGTAACGAATTTATTTCTCTTTTATTATTTTTTTTTTTTTGCATTTTGATGGCCTTAACCATAAAAGTATGAAGGGAAAATTGGAATTACTCTTACAAATCACCTCAGATCATGACATAAAATCTAGTTCAAATCTAACAAAATGAGCGGTCAGTGACCCGTGTAGATAGATACCTACATACCTACGACGTCGAGCGCGCGCTCAGCTGACGCTCGGCGCACGGTGTCTATAAATTTAGTTTTAAAGTCTCGATCTTTGGTAAGCGATAACTTTATTTTTTTGTATTAGAACATATCAAAATAAAAAATACGTGATTGTTTAAATTACTTAAAGTTTTTTTTTACAAAATCTTTGCAGTGGTTTTAAATTATTCCTGTATATAAGATTCCGCGGCAACACGCTATTTTGTTTCTCTTTAGCAAATTGCAGTTTCGAGCGATAGAAAAAGATAGAGCTACGGAAAAGGCGAAAACCTGCTGCCAGGTGTAACTCTACCCTTACATGTACCTTCTAACAAAAACAATAAGTAAATAAAATAACCTGTCGTTCATAACGTGAGCTATCCACATAGAGGCGAGCAGCAGCACCGCGGCGGCAGTAGTCGTATGTCCGGATGGGTTGCCGGGACCGGTCTCGCAGGTCTGCCCGGTCTGACGCAACCGTGGCCGGTGCGACGACTCATAGAAGCTGGTCTCACGGACCCACCAGTAAGGACGGTCTTCTAACAACCACCTGACCGTGTGAATTATCTTTACATTGAAAACTTACGGTGCTAACCAAAACCAGCAGTGGACTAAAGGTGGACTAGATTTTAAACCCTTTAAAAATATTTTGGAATTTAATTACAATTTGTATTTTTCTTTCTTTTTCAATTGCTCTTTTTTATGTCTTCTTCTCATAGAAAAAAGTAAATGGTCTACTAGGTCGCCTTTTCAACATATTTATTTTTTAAATAAATAATTATGGTATTACTAGCACATTGAGCGTGTGTAGGACCATAGGTATCCATGTTTGATATATGTATTTGCACACAGCACCATGCTCAAGAGGCCTAATTCAGGAAGCAAATAAAACAGTCCGCTAGTAAGAACGACATGAAATTTTGAAGAATATCTTTAAATTATTCATTGGTTAATCGCGTATAAGCCCTCATTGACTACAGCATGATTGCCGAACAGGAAGATTTAGGCATGGTTGACCTTCGTGCCTACTAATAGCTATCGCAAACATTTTATGTTTATTTTACTATAACACAATTAGTAAGATGCATCTACTAGCACAATAGCAATATGTTTAGGCACAAGTGAAAGAGACATGTAGTGCCAGTTCATTGTACGAAATTGTAGGGTATTAACAGACAGCAGAGGCAGCCGGGACCAACAGCTTAATGTGCCTTCCGAAGCACAGAGTAGCTTGAGATAATAATTTTTTGGTCACCCATCCCATGACCGACCCTTGCGAAAGTTGCTTAACAATAACGATCGCGGACCACTGCATTTATCCACTATGCCACAAATTTACCATTAATTAATAATAAATTTTAAAATATATTTATTTAGTCTACTCTTTTATTTTGTATCTTATATTATTTTCATAAAATAAAATAAATATAAAATAAATATTTGAATAAGCTATATTGCTTTATTTTATTAGAAAAATTCTTCATAAGATTTCTTTGACTTATATTGTGTAACATAATTTTCCATAAAAAGTTTCAAACTGAATATATTTTGCACCATAACCAAATAATTTGGCTGAAAACAAATAACAAAAAAGATGCCGAATACCAAAAGAATATTCAGCTCGTCTCTAATTTATAACAATACTTACCATTTCATAACAGCATTCAGCCATCCTCCAAAAGACATACAGAGAAGCAGCTGGGAAGCAAACACTGAATCTAGGATTGAAACCAATGGGAAGAGGTACTCCAGCACATAGTGAGGATTAGACAAGTTGTTCACCACCTCAAAGTAATCCTCGGAGTCGGCAAACCTGTACAACAAGAATTTTTGAATATTTTACACAAAAATAAAGAATGTGGACATTCAGCAATTGTAAAATAAAATTTATCTGCAATTCAACAACTTAAAGACTCATTCAGAATTCAACTGGACATGTTGTTATTGATATTTACTTTAATGAGATTGTATAATTAATGTATCTTAAGATCTATAAGTCTGTCATTGTAACACATCATAAAAGTGAATTTTATACAGATAATAAATGTATATTTATTTTCTTGTATCTTATCAGTTACTCAAATTTTTGAGTCAGATTATTTATTTAAAAATACGCGGCTGCAGTGAATAATATTTTAGTGTAAACTTAAAGCTCACCAATCTTGAATAAACTCGATACAGGAGACCCCGAGTGCGTAGAGCTGGTCCATTGTGCTATGGAAAACTGATAAGATATTACACAATCGCTTTTAATTAACGCATTTCGATTAAATCACTGTAATTTTGCGATCATTTTAACATAACAAACTTGTCGCCTAACCTATAAAATGTCAGTGTGACAGCTACGGGGCTGCCAGATGTTAGTTTCAATTTGCCTATTAACCCATTTGGACCCAAACACTGTCAAAATTGGTGCCCATTGTGCAGACGCTGTTATCAAGCCATCGTACAAATAGAATTTTATTGACAACGTCAAAACGGTAGTCATAATCTGCTCGCTTTCTTTTTTTCATATCTTTGACCGATGCCAAAGGGCATTGTTTTGTCCGGTTTTCGCGTACCGTCCCTGTTGCTCGAAATCCAGCCTCATGAAGTTCTTTCAGCAATCCAAAATTGGTGAAATAGTTATCGAAATAAACTATATGCTCATTGGGTACGGCTTGAATTTTGTTCAGCAACAACTTGACCACTCTCGATCACAAGGGTTCATTTCCGGTTGCCAATGTTGATTTCCCGCAGTATATGTCGAAACCATAACAGTAACCATCTGCACTAGCAATCATCCAGTTTTTGTAACCGAATCGTACCGGTTTGCCTTTTATAAATTGTTTCGATGGATGACGTCCAAAATATTTTATCATGGATTCATCCACAGATAGTAATTCATGTACTAAGCCCCACTGTAAAAACTTCTTGATGAGCATATCAGCAAGTGGTCTTACCTTGAACATTTTATCTGTGGATTCTGCAGCAGTTTCATTGTCACAGAAATGTAGAAATTTCTTTATTTCTATAAACCTATTCTTTGACATTGTTCTTGAAACAATGGGAACACTGCAGTCTTCGTCCAATGACCAGTATAGCCGTTCTTTTGGAAGTGTATGGTAACCCGTGAGAATTATGATTCCAAAGAACTTTTTGAGTTCTTCGACTGTTACATCGAAATCATGATTGTTATTCTGTGCGGCATACAGCTTTGTATAGTGAAGAGTCATGTTCATTACCTCCTCATCAAATATTTTCTCAAATATTTGGACTGCACTCAGATCCTTCAGATCAGTTATAAGTCTTTCCCTGCGCATCTCAACATTATTACTGACTGAACCAACATTCTCATAAAAACTGTCACATTTGCGCCATCGAGGTTCGTTATCTGTTCGTTTTCTAACCAGTTTTTGTAATGGTTCATCATCACTACTATCCCACTCATCGTCCCGCTGAGACACAAAAACTTCCACCCTACCGGGTATATCACGCGGGAGTATATTCTGCTGTATCTTATCCTAGTCACCTTCTTCTTCATCTGTTAGGACACTTGGATTTGGAGGGATAGCTACCAAATCATAACTGACATCAGGGTCTTCATCTTCAGCCAAAATGTTTTCTAATGCTTCTTCCAGTCCTTGATAATCATTTCTTGCATTAAAAGCGCGTTTGGCCATTGTTTATTTCAATATAGTACCTAAAATGAAAAATATTATGTGTTCAGTAAAATGTATGCGATGTTACCATTGTCCCTATACAGGGACACCTAAATAATTTCTGACAAAAAACAAGAAAAATAACTTAATCATCTTATAAAACCTCCTTACTGTTTAGATAAATGTACAAACTTATAATAACATGAACACATCATAAGCTATTATATATACATAAAAAATAAAACTGCTTACCTTTAGGTAGATATCCTAGCCGAAATTTCCACTAACACAACAACAAATTTAAACAAGTTTTCATTAATTTTATCCAATAAATACAATAAAAACGAAAAGGTACACTACTCAGGATTAGAAATGCATCTGAAATAAATGTTTAACTAAAATCATAAAAATTTTGTGGGTAGTTAATTCACTGTCCCTGTACAGGGACGGCGGATCCAAATGGGTTAAGTTACTTTTCTATTCTTTTATTTTAAGACGTTTTTATTCTTTTGAACATATCAACCCCATCATACCATACTTAAATCTTAAATAAATTATTAAGTTAAACGAAAAGTATTTGAAAAAACGCAAAACTTAATAAGGAAATTAGAAACATTATTTTTTTCGGTAAATTTATAAAAAAAATATGTTATTAAAACTATTCAACTATATCTATTTTTATTTACACCACCAATTTAAAATTTTCATGTATGTTTCACATTTAAGCCAGATAGAGTATATCTATACTATAATCGTGCTTAAAGAAAAATAACCAAATTGTAAAACGGCTTGTCTATACAAAATTTTCATTGCAGACACTTTCTTATGTTTTAATACTTGTTTCTTCATTGTTTTACTTTGAGTTAAGCTGTCGTGTTTTTAATTTTTTAATTGTTTGTTTTTATTTTATTCCTTTTAATGACAAGTAAATGTATACCAGTTATATATTTTTAGAATATTTAGCTTATGTCACTTGGCATGATGTAACGTTTCTAATTATACCCTAAACATTCAGTCTTTCATAAGTTATGGTGGATTAAAGAAACCCACATACATAAAGACATATACCCTAAACATTATTTTTTGGGCATTCGTCATTAGTTTGTTAGGCTTAAATGTTCCTTAACTACTGCGGAACTTACTCAATTTGGTTGATATCAAAACGAGAAGTTATTTCTATCAAACCATTAATATCGACGTATCCTCCTAAAAATATTATGTTCTCATAAGTATTATTTTTTCCAAGAAATCATGAATAGAATATATATCCCAATCTTGCAACACTGGATAGAGGTTCGCCAGACAAAACTTACTATTGTATTTTGAAAAGTTTAGTTTTTCTACATTTTTAACACGAAATTCAATATAATATTGGTGAACTGTTTATATTACTGTCGGATAAACATTAAATAATATCATTCATGGATTTTGTGCATGATAATGTTTATCAGTTAAAGAACCATCTAGTGTTGAGTAGCAAAAGCTAAAAATATACTAGTGACATCTATAGAACATTTCTTTAATCATAGTCTATTTTCAACCACTAGATTATTAGAAAATTTTAAGTACGTCAATATAATAAAATTCTACTTTGAAATTATTTATAAATGCCGAACGACTGACTCAAACCATTAAACGTTAGCAGGTGATACTAAGAATTAAGTAGTTTACGAGGACTACCGTTTTTGTATGTACTCACTAGTTGGCGCCACTAGAAAATGGCATAGAAACAACTAATCTCAGTCAAAACACTTGTAAGTATTATCGACTTATTAATAAGCACATTGATATAACAATAATAAATCTTTATACTTATGGATCAGTGATGTAACAGTGACTAATAAGGCCGTCCAAAGACTTCCACCCTGTACCTACATATCCACTGTACCTACATGTTTTTGTATATATTAGGTTTGATTTGTTTTTATATAAACTACAATATGGTAGAAGAAGAAATAAAAATGAGTGGAAGCAGGGCCTGATTACCCCCTAGGCCCTAGGCTAATAAAGTTGCTGCCTAGGGCGCTACAAACGGCGGGGGGGCGCTGAAATCTTGTCTTCTCAAGTACACTTAAAAACCGGTTAGTTATTTTAATGAATTCCAAAAGTTTTATTTTGTTTTTTTTTCTGAATAAGACGACAATGTATTTATCATAAACAAAACAAAGGAACTTCGATGGATTTGTTGTAATTTGTCAGAAGCCATAGATAATGTTCGTGTAAGATTTTTTTATAACTGAATTTGACCTATGCAGCTTTTCGCCACCGCAGCGAAGATCTTTTTCAGCACTAAAAGAATAATTCCGAAATGACAAAGCACGAAAAAGAAATTTCGTATAGTTACTTAATTTAAAATTATTGCTACTTTTATAAAAGAAATAAAAGTGTAGCATTTGCGAAAATAGGTTGAGTTTCATTTCAGATATTTGATTATTTTTCTTCAGACGTAAGATGTAAGGGAATAATAAATACTGAGCTGAGCGGCAGGTTGTAATTATTCAATCAATCTGACCGTCCAAGGATGTTGTAGCATTCTTTGAGGGTATTAATAAGAAAGAGGGTTACTTTATAAAAAAAAACAAACATATACATATTTAAATACCTAGCTACTTACTTAGCGTGAAAGCTATTTTCTATAAAAAGAAAATTATTGAATATGATTTTTTATTTTAGTGGTCACTTCTATACATAGTATAAAGAAAGTCGCTTACGCTATCTGTGTAAAGTTTCCATCATTAAAACAGAGTGATTCAAGACGAAAGTTTATAAATACACCATGCAAATAAACAATAATTTGATCACTTTTTCTCTCTGATTGTTAGAGTAATTAATTTATTATCTTTATAATCTAAGGTCTCTATCCATTTCTATAAATCCATTCTCTATCCATTTCTATAATTCATAGTAATGAATTCAAATTAATTTAATACACCTAATCCCTACTAAAATTATTAGATTAAGCATCCACCTCTTACTTAATATTACTATATCACACATCACCTCTACATTGACTAGTGGTATAATGTTAAGTATTTTTTGGTAAGAATATCTAGGTGTATAGAAAGGCGGACTTACACTTGTATATATTATAGTCGAGAGAAGTAATTTCTCGGAACTATGTCTTATTTTTACCAACAAAATAAGAATTTGAATGAAGTAAGAACTGTTCGAATACTTTATTATTAGCTACTAGCTTTTAGCCGCGACTTCGCCCACGTGGTCTAGTTTTAAATCAAAAAATGAGAAAATTCCATAAAAACTTTCATCATCTAATTTAATTTTCTTAGGGGTCGAATTTTGTAAAAGCGTATCTTAGTAAGCACCTACGTCCTAAAAAGCACCCGCATGCAAAATTCGAAACTCCTAGCACTTGTAGTAACGAAGTTTCATACAAACTTTCATTCCCTAATTTAGCCCTTTCGGAGTGGAATTTTCAATAATTCTCTCTTAGTGCTTCTCTACACTCCCTGAGGAATCTTCATTCAAATTTTCAACTTTCTATTCTCAGTAGTTTTAGTACATACGTTGTCTGTCAGTCAATCACTCAGTAACGCAAGTTTTTTTTATAGGAATATAGATTGACAGTGTTCATTCAATTTCTCGTCTATTTAAAAAAATATTTCTCGTCTATCTAAATAAAAGAGAAGTAATTTACGTGAAAAGGTTATTAAAATTTTTCACGTAAATTACTTCTCT